AGCTGAATACCATACATGTAAGTACCCACGAAAACTTAAGAAAACAAATATATATATATATATATATATATGTTGTATATGTACACACTCACATATGGATATACTCACATGTGGATATACTTATTCACCAACTGACTTCCAGCACATTGCCATATCTACCAATACATCAAATGCTGATACAATTAATTACACTACTTAACATGTCACTTATTCATTTGTAATGGAGAATATGATGATAGAAGATTTAACAACAGTAAATTGCTGTCTTAGCATCTTCAAAATTCAGTCAATGTTCCAAATTAAATTGTAACAGCTAAATCAAAAAATAGCAAAGAACTGATTACCTTACTTATATTTGGGGGATGTAAAGTATCATTTGTTTCATTGTTTCCAATCACAGAATGTTGGCATTTTTTCAAAGCTACTGACTCTTTTCCATGAAAAGCTTCTGAAGAAACTCTGTTTCTTGGAGGCTCCAAACGGCTAAATGCTCTCAATTTCTCAAAGGTTTCTGAGCATATTTCAGAGTGCATACGTTTCTTTGTTTTCCCTTCATTAGCAATATAAATAAAATGTTTTATCGCAAACATACTACATCCAAGGAATATTTTTTATCATTCTTCCATACACTTTTCTTATCCAATAATTATGCTGATATCTATCATGCTCAATAGCTATATTTGGCTATATTATATAATGTCAGTCTTTAAGCTATATTGCTTCTCCCTTGACAACAGTGCAAAAATAGGGATTTTTTTAAAGTCTACAAACATCCTGTTTTATACACTAGTTATTTCTTGATTTTCTCATATCTATCCAGAAATCTGTTACCAAAAATCACTCATATACCTTGCTGCTTTGAAAATGTAATCCTCTCATTAATTTCCAAAACTCTCCTATTCTGCTCCTATTCTCTCCTATTCTACACATTTATGACAGTTTAATATCTAAACCAAATAAAGTGGCTGAAAATAAAGATTCACAAATATTAACAGTTTAAAATATTTACAAAATATGACTGAACATCAAACAACAGGTATAAATGGTTAAGTTTCAATTAGGTGGCATATGCTAATATATATGAGAATGAACTTTGTAAATAACAAAATAAAAAACCCAAAGCAAATCCCAATTCTGTCTTGCTCCTAGATTTCTAGATGACCACAAAAGCTGCAGTTACAGAATATTTCCCAATTTTTGTGATAACTTCTGGACAGAAAGAAGTTACAATATTTAGAACATACCTGTTTTCTGAATATCTACTGAATTATTCTCTTCTTTTCCATACTGTAGAGACTTTGAGGATTTGCCAATATATTCTTTGTTCTTTACCAGTTTTTTCTTTTTGCTATCAGGCTCAATAATCTAAATAAAGAAGTTTTAACATATTTGTGAAATAATTTGTTTTTTATTCAATTAATAAAAGCAAAAAAAAAAAATTCAAACTGTGGCTTACTGAAGTTAATCATCCTTGCTTTTGATCTGTGATTATAACCATAAAGCTATTTACTTGTACTAATCATCCATAACAGATTGACCTTTTCTAGTTTCCAGAAAATTAAATCTGAAACCAAGATTGATAACTGATTGCAAATTTCTGATTCTTAACACCTCTACACTATCAGGGAGGTTTTACCCAGATAGGATGGCTTAAGGAATGTGAACCAATGCCCATCTGGTTCTAATCAGCAGTGGTATTCAGCAGGTTCTGACCAGTTCTGGAGAACCAGTAGCGGAAATTTTGAGTAGTTCAGAGAACCAGCAAATACCACCTCTGACTGGAGATTTTACAGTAACCTTCCCCTGCCACGCCCACCAAGCCATGACCACAGAACCGGTCATAAAAAAAAATTGAATCTCACCACTGGTTCTAATGGAATGATGTTGAGATTTATATGTTTTCTCTCATACATAAGAAAAAGGAACTATTTGAATCAGCATTCAAAGTTACAATGGCATTGAAAAAAGTGAGTTACGACCATTTTTCGCACTTAAGACCATTGTAGCATCCCCATGGTCACATGATTTACATTTGGATGCTTGACAACTGATTCACATTTATAACGGTTGCAGTGTTCCAGGATCATGTGGTCCCCTTTTGTGACCTTCTGACAAGTCAATGGGGAAACCAGATTCCTTAACACCGTGTGACTAATTTAACAACTGCAGTGATTCACTTAATAAATGTGGCAAGAAAAGTCCATAAGATGGGGCAAAACTCACTTAACAAATTTCTCACTTAACATAAATTTTGGGGTCAATTGTGGTCATAAGTTGACAACTACCTGTACTTCGAATGACTGAACAGAAGGGAGATTCCTGGGTGTCCTAAGCCCAATGCTGCTGTGATGGGGAGGAAGCAAACAGGGTGCTTATTCATACTTTTGTAAGTACTATTTGGGGTTCAGCGTGTTCTCTTTACATCAGGGGTCCCCAACCACCGGGCCCCGGACCGGTACCGGTCCGTGGATCACTTTGTACCGGGCCGCAAAGAAATTTT